TGTGGAAACGATCAAACAACATCATTAATATCACATATTAAAATACTGCCGAGGAGCATTAAAAAACAGCTAGAACAGTACATAGATAGGGAACTACCAGAAGTTCAAGCAGGATTTAGAAGAGGCCGTGGCAGCAGGAATATCACTGCTGAGTCAGATGGATCCTACCTAAAAGTAAGGAATACCAGGCGCATGCCTGTTTGTGCTTTATTTACTATGCAAAGGCATTTGACTGTGTGGATCATAACAAATTGTGGCTGACACTGAGAAGAGTGGGAATCCCAGAGCACTTAAGTGTGCTCATGCGGAACCTATACCTGGATCAGTGGGCTGTTGTGCGAGTGGAGCAGGGGAGCACTGCATGGTTTGGAACTGGGGAGTATGTCAGGATTGTATTCTGTCTCCATTCCTATTCAATTTGCATGCTGAGCAAATTATCTGAGAAGATGGACTCTATGAAGAGGAGTGTGGCATCAGGATTGGAGGAAGATTCATCAATAACCTGTGTTATGCAGACGATACAGCCTTGCTTGCTGAAAGTGAGGAGGACTTGAAACACTTGTTGCAGAAGATCAAGGAATGCAGCCTTCAGAATGGATTGCGTCTCATTATCAAGAAAACAAAGATTCTTACCACTGGACCGAAAGGTAGCATCATGATAGATGGAGAGGAGATTGAAACTGTCAACAGCTTCATCTTGCTTGGATCCACAATTAACTCCCTTAGTATGAGCAGTCAGGAAACTAGGAGATGCTGGGAAAATCTGCAGTTAGGACCTCTCCAAATTATTGAGGAATAATGATGTCCATTTGAGGACTAAGGTGCGTCTGAATCAGACCATAGTCTTTCGAATTAATTGCTATGCATCTGAGAGCTGGACAATGAAAAAGTATGACAGAAGAAGAATTGACGCCTTTGAGCTGTGAAGTTGGAGAAGAGCACTGAACATTTCATGGGCAGCCAAGAGAATGAACAGATATGTCTTGGAGAGGGTGTAGCCAGAGTGCTCTTGGGAGGCAGGAATGATAAGGCTTAGCCTCATGTATTTTGGACATGTTTCTAGGAGGGGATATTCCTTGAAGAAGGGCATGATGCAGGAAAGGGTGGAGGGTCAGCGAAGGAGAGGAAGACCCTCAACCAGGTGGATTGACACAGTGACTGCTGCAAAGGGCTCCTGTGTGTCAGGAAGTGTGTGGATGATGCAGGACAGAATAGAGTAAGATCTTTCGTTCGTAGGGTTGCTATGAGTCATACTTCACTTGACAGCACCTAAAAATAACAACAAAAATAACAAAGAGAGATGCTGAGTTTGTAGCTGGAGACACAAGTGTGAATTGGGAGCAAGAAGTATACTGGAAATACAGATTTGGAAGTAATCTGCCATGAGCTGTATTTAAAGCCAGTAAATTAAGATAAAACTGCCTAGGGATGGATATGGATCAGGATTTTTCAACCTGGCAATTCTGACCATATGGATCGGCAATTCTGACCTTATGGATCACCTAGTTCTTTGTTGTGAAAGCTATCTTGTGCACTATAGGTTGTTTAAAAGCATTCCTGTTTTATACCCACTAGATGCTAGTAGCAACTCACTAACAATACATAAAAGGACTGAGATATGTACAAGATTCTAGTATCTGAATGAAGAGCTGTGACTGGGGAACCTATCTTGGAGTATTTAATGCCTGGCTTGAATCTTAGCAGGCAAGTAGCAGATAGCCAGGCAAAATGAGCACGAGTCAAAGCCAGTTCTTAAAAAGTAACAGGCTGCTTGCAAACTACAAGTGGTTTAGAAAACACAATCTAGGAACTTCAGCAGAGTCGGACCATGACAATATTGTGGTGAGAATAAGCAGGAGAGTACTATGGTGCTGGTCTTGTACCTTCTCTGGCAGGGGTAGCAGTCCTAGCAGTTGTGTGGAAGGGTCAAGGTCAGAGACAGATAGAAAGCCAGTGTTAACAGTCTAGACAAGAGGAAAACCTGCATCAAGGGCAGCACTGGTAAGATTAGCGAAAGAACAAAAAATTAATTAGGAGCCCAAGTAAGTAGACTTTCCTAATTAGTTGGCTTTCCAGAAGCCAATGTCAGTGGAAGCCCAAAATCTCTGTAAATGTTTATGAAAATTAATAAAATATAATTATAGAAAAAAAACAAAATGATCTCTGACCAAATGTGCAACAATTAATAATAATAATAAAAATAAAAATAAATAAATTCCTGACCAAGTTTCAACCTTTCCTCATCAAAGCAAAACAAACTCAGTAGAAAAATAGCAGAGTGTGGTTATGGAATGATGAAAAGTTGTGAAACTAGAGCGAAGTGGTGGTTACACAACTTTTTGAATACACTAGGTGTCATGGATCTTCATAATTTAAAATGGTTAATTCAGTTATGTAGATTTTCTTGCAATAAAAAGTTTAAAACAAACTAAAACCACACACAAAGGTTATATAATCATGTAATTTACAGAGGAGAGAATGCCAGTAAACAAAAAACACCTGGATTTCACTGGCATTCGGGGCAATGAAAATTAAAATAATGGAATTCCATTCTGATTCCCACTCCACTAATAAGATTTCCAAAATTTTAAAAGATTAGTACTTTTCAATGATAGTGATTATGAAACAACAGCTCTTCTGGGCAGCAATTTAACTGTATGTAACAGAAAATATAATTATTCTTTGAATCAGCAATTCTAAGAATGTATCAACAGAAATATTCCCACGTGAACATAAGGTTCTATACAAGAATGATGTTTACTGTAGAGATGATGCAAACCAAAACATAAAGGCAACAGAAACATCCATCTAAACTCACTGCTGTGGAGTTAATGGTGGCTCAGCAATCCTGTAGGAGACAGCAGAATAGCCTGCCACATCTTTCAGCTGGGGAGCAGCTGGGGAGTTCCAGCTGCCTAAGTTTCCCTTAGTAGTTGAACTACTGTACCCTCAGGGCTCCTTCTAAATACAGGGAGGCAATAAATCAATCAGATAATCCATATTACAGAAAAGTACAATATATAACCTGAAATATATATGAAATAAAATGGAAAAATTTCACACCACACACACATTTTATGGGGAAACCAAATTATAAAACAATGTGTATTTCCATTTATATTTAAGGAAACAGCCTATGTCTTGGTAAATACACAGAAAAATATCTGAAATAATAACAATATAACTTCAATTTAGAGAGGAGAGTGGAATGAATAGAGGATTAGGAAGGGTGAAATTGCTGTAAAGTGCCATCAAGTCAGAACTCTCCAGTTGGTTTTCAGAGACAGTAAACTGCATGGGAGGAGACTATCCATTTTTCTTCTCTGGAGCAGCTGGGTGAATGTGAACCACTTGCTTTTGAGTTGGCAGTGCAGCTTCTTATTACAATAGCAAAGTGCAATTTTATTTTCCCCTCATACAAACATGAATTACTGTCATAATTTTAAAAACTAAAAATTTCATAATAAGTGTAACATACGACATGTGATTAGCTGATACAACAATGTGACAGGTAAAACAGATGGCTAATAAATGTTAAAGATTACTGCTAACCATCTTCACCCCCCCATCATTTTCTTCTTTTTTTTTTTTAATTAGCTGTTCTCACATATGTTTTACCCATTGGCCAAAGGGCTGGCATTGCCTGTAGCCTTCTGTCCTTGGGAAAACCCACTCTTAAAGCATTCATGCTGCTAAAAGTACACTCAAATTATTTTCTTTTCAATGCATAAGTCATATATCTAAATTGACAGTCTTAATCTTTTGTTTTTAATTATATTCAAAAGCTTTATAAGAGGATAATAATTTTTTTCCACTTCCAGTAGGCATAGCTGTAATAGTGATTTTTAAAAAATAAGTAGGGTGAGAAAAATACACTGACTCACAATTTCACTAAAACTTGGCTTTTATTCATTTGTTTAATCTACATTTTTTCAACATCTTCTCCAAAGCACAAATTATTTTTCCTTTCATAGCAAGTATTTTCTAATTAATACATTCTTTCTGAATGTACGACTTAAGATAACAGTGTTTTTTTAAACAAAATTCCTTCTAAAACCAAATCGTTTTAAGTGGTTCATATTTTTCTATATGCTTATCTATCATGTATTTCTTATATACTCTGTGAAAAAAAACTATTAATTTTTTTACTGTTTAAAATTTCTCTTTTTGCTTCCCTCTTTTGATTTGCATCTCTGTTAACCTTCCATGATCTAATTTTTTTTCCTAACAGTTGTTCCTTGGGTTTTGTTTTTAATTAACTTTAATGAACATTTACAGAGATTTTGGATTTCCATTGATTCAATGTTTCCCACGTCCTCAACCCCCATTTCACTCTTCTCCTTGAAAAGCAAAAGAGAAATTCCTTCATTGGTATACAATACCCCACATCCCCCTTCCCACCACCCCAAGGATACTCCACTCTGCAACCTTCATTCCAGACTTGGTTTTTAATTATAATTGTCTTATACCTTAATTTTCTGTATGTGAGTGATTTATGTCAGCAGAATTTGTCCTAATTTCATATATGTTGTGCATTATTTCATTAATTCCTGATTGATTTTAAATTTTGGGGCATCATTTTTTCTCCTATCACATACAAAGGATGACTAATAGTGAGCATGTGCATTTAGTAGAGCATTCCTTTCATATCTATAGTCAAGAACTCATTCTTCAGTGTAGTTTGGAGCTGACATAGCTTATCCTCCAGCAGGTTTTCAGAGACTGTAAATTACATAGGAGGTGACTGCTCATCTTTCTCTTGGGAAGCAGCTGGTGGATTTGAGCCAGTTGCCTTTGGTTTGGCACTGCATCTCCTTACCACTAAGCCACCAGAGCTCTTAAAGTCAAGAAAGAGGGTAGTAATTAATTGTGACTAGTAGGTGATGAAAATTGAGCCTTTACATTACTTGAAAATATAATAATTTAAAAAGCATTTCTGCTTTATCATGTTAAAAAAGACAAGCATTTAATCCCCATATTAAGAATATAAGCATTCTTACTTGCTTAAAGAACGTTGAAGGTGCCATTTCCGATCCACTTAGTGTTCGTAAGAGGAACATTGGCCAAGATGACACATTCATCTGGTATCCTATTTTATAAAATAAATCAGATATTATGAGAAGGTATTATAGCAAGTGTGGTATATTTTTTAAAAAAGTTTTAATCACCTACAACCAGGAGAAGATAAAGCAGATGAATGGGATCTTCTAAAACTCAAATCCCTATGCACATCCAAAAACTTCTCCA